TCTAGCCTGTGGTAGTCCATACACAACACACTGCAGTACTGCAACTCGAACCAGGGACCTTTGGTAAGTCAACTGATGTCTCATCTTGTATGACTAAGTGGAAGCCATTCAGAAACACTTGTAAGAGCCACACTTCAACCTGACCGACTGGTGGCCTTTCCACTCGCGCAACACCATTATCTGCTGGCTCGATGTCTAAATGTAAATAAATAAATAAATGGTATATTCTCGGTAAAACGAGACACACCTGTAAAGGCGCGAATAAACTGCAAGTCCCGATAACATCTGTTCTTATCTCGATACGTTCCCACTAGACAAATGGATTTCATTACATTTATTCTCCTGTGACACCGTGACTTATTGCGTGTTGCAATCTGAGGTCAGTATATGCTACCTCAAGTTTCTCTGCAAGCACGTCCCCTTGTACTGCTGTCGCTTTCAGATAAACGCACTGAGCTTCAGACAAGTCACCAAGGCTGATTCCGGAACAGTTGCAACACGTTTTGACATCCAAATCGAACTGCTTGGGTACAGGTAGCATTCTAGACACTGATGAATTGGTCGACATGTGCTGGCGGTCAGGACAAGTGACTAGGAGAAATAACTCGTGACAAACGATGGACTGCCTGGTGGTTCTACGTCCCTGTTGCTTCACGCTCATTTTGGACAAGAGACAATTATAAAGGGCTCTGGTTTTACTTTACGACACGGATAATTTGCAGTGAACGTAATCACACTTTTTCACTGCTAACTTGAAAACATGCTTACTCCATCTACGTAATTTTCTTTGTGTCATCCCACATGTACGTCGAGCTTGGGTACAGTTTCACTTTAAAATAATTAACTACTGAGCTGGTGCAATATGGTATCCTTATTGCGCCTGCCTAGAACGGATGATCCACAGGTAACCAAACTTTATTACGCTTATTTAACTCCGTTGTATTTCTCGATGACTTCACATGTTGCCCATTACAATATTATACTCATCATGACCTGTGCTATGTTATTCCTGCTACCTTCTCAAGCGGATTCAAGTATGGTGACATACCGAGACAGTGAGCTACGGCATCTTCCTCTTCATATTATTATTCGGCCGTGATTCATATCACTATGTAAGCTCCATGGTATTACGCACCGCCTATGCCATCTATATTCTGCTCCTTGAAATCTAGTTGTAGATTACATAACTGTAGCTTGACCAGCTGCTCAATGCTAACTAGCATGACACTTAGAGAGCCGGTGCGTCGCCGAATAATGGTCCAGTTCCTTCATGAGCTCATTCGTAATTGACGTGCGCGCGGCGTTTCGAGCGATTTGTGTGCTTGATAAGGATCAATGCCAGGGTGGCAGGTTATTGTGTATGTTTCCAGTTCGATGGATAATGTTGAATCAAAAGGTTATCATTGCTTGGCCGCTTACAGTACGCATAACTTGTCAAGTTTGACATTTTGAACACAATGCTCAAAGATCGTCCCTCGTGTGACCACACTGGATTACGCATTCAAAGAGAATTTTCCCTGGAAATTCTGTGGCATGTGAACAATCTCGACAAATAACCGACTAGCGATTATCGCGATGTCACCATTTGATGTTCCACTCCGAGACGAGAGTGGGAATGGTTATAGTTCCCCATGTCCCTCAGCCGTACTGAAAGCACACGTAATAGACGGATGGATGTTAGAGGCGTAGAGAAGCCTACCAGAATTTGCATTGCACGTGGCCAATCTTTTAGACGGACTAAGTAAAAGGTTGAACCTAAGTGGAATGGTACGTCAGTGTGTCAGTATATTACATCGGAAAGGAGTCGGTGCATAGCGACCTTCGTTTCATGAGCACCGAATGGTTGCATCCGAGACGTACACTATAACTCGTTAGCAAATAGACCACAGTAGGGTACACGTCGGTAGGTACAAACGATTGAGTACTTGGTCATTTGCACACAAAATGCAAACCTTACATGGAAAGTCGCATGTTTGACAATGGGCAGCTTGAACTATTTGATGTCACCTGTCAATATCAAAGGTTGCGCATCAATCTTTCTTTGAGTAGATGCACATACCTCGGGCAGCAGATGACCGAACCGGTCGGAAACATAGAAAGCAAGCAGTGGATAGTGCATCGCATTCGCATGCTGTGTGATCTCCCCCATTAGCTACTCAAACCAGACTGTACATTTAGAGGACAACACCTAAGTGTACACTTTTTCCCTGTACCAGTAGTTTATTTATCATTCCACCTAGCAGTTGATTCATTATTACTTTTGCGTGTTCCTTCAACTATGGATGCCAAGATTTAAGGCTGTCACGTCTAAATGTTGAAGAAAACATCAACAGTTCGTATTGGGTGCTTATGGTCATATCTGCGAAAGTGGTTGTTAACCTGGCCTCCAAACGAAACCCATACACGTTTGTCGTACAATTGCTCATGATGTCTAAAGTGTCTCTAACCAGTTTGTGACAGCTCACATTCAGGTTTGGATAAACGCATGTGGACAGGTTTCCTTCGAACTTCCATTGGACACGGATGACGCCAATCTATAAACCTACGTATACCAAACGCTAGCGACGAGGCTACTCATACCGCTTTCGTACGGCGAACTTAATTCAGGGAAACGGCACTCGATCAAACCAGAAATAACATAACCAGAACACGAAGAAGGTGATTTTATGACAAGCTCAGGTTGATTTCAGGTGTTGCGAATCCAAAGCAAATTTGACCGATACGAACTCCGTGGACAGATCACAAGGGCGGTTGCTCAGGTGCAGGAGAAGGTACTATTGTACGCGGAATAGAAGCATGATGCGTACGCTGCCATTCGATTTACTAATCCAGGCCAATAAGGCTGCGTTTGTGGTGTGTTTGCTTGCGTGCTGAGTAATCTTGAATTTCAGAAGCAGATGTTGCTTGAACTTCCCGTTGTGGATGCGCTTGACATGAAGAACGACATGGTGCCTACTTGTCTACTACCCACTGCCTCGTCCAAACTACCTCCAGGAGACAGTTGGTCGTCGCTGGAGGGGACGGAGTGCACCGTCCTCGTGACAGTGCTAGGCTTAAAGAGTGGTTTTAGCCTATGTGGAACGGGCTACTGTCCAGCCACCGCCATGTGTACTCCTGATGTGTAGGCTTTCTCGTTTAGGCCGGAATGCTTCTGTTCTGCTTGTTGAAACTGTGTGGGCCGGCTCCGTTGTTGAAATGTGGCTCCCATCCACATGCATCCCGGTCTTATTCCTTCGGGTTTACACCGGATATGGGTTGTTTGGATGCAACTGTGGGTGGTGCAGCGCAAGACACACATGGACCCGTTTGTAGATGCAGGAGTTCTGTGGCTGTCTCCATGGAGGCCGCAGTGACAGGCACCTCCGGATACGGATGCCGCCATACCATAGGTTAATGAATGTAGTAAGGAGCAATCGTATAGGCATAAGTAAGAACTGCATACGTTACTTAAAGTTTGTGTGAAAGTAAACCTACTCCTGCATGCTGGATGCATAACACATGTAAAATGAGAGATTGATGAGATTTCGGCAATGTTATGGTGCCTAATAACGAGTGTTGTTTAATTACAATTGGTTTCGTGGCATACGATAGGAGACGCAGACGTTATAGTTACAAGTGGGGCTGCAGCTGTTTGCTATTGTGATAACCGCTCCTTGTGCTGCTGGGTGTTTTAAATAAAATGGTTTTGAATCACGCAAGGCAAGGTGATGTTGTATGGAGTAATAATATGTGCGCATCGAAGTCGATGATTCCTCATTTCGGTGGGTAAGGGGTTTTTGGAGAACCGGGGTTGTTTAAAGATTTAAAATCGTTAAAAGAATACTGCCTCCGGATGTGTAACAGAGTTAGTCAGCTCTGTGTAGAGAAATAAGGCAGATGGAATTCGGTAGACGTTACCTTAATAGAAAAATAAGGCATAGTGCTCTGTGTTTTATTATCTCAACTGAAGTTGCTGCCAGTTTTACGTTACTCAGCGAAGTGACCATGAAACGGTGCGTTTTCGTTGCGTATTGTCCCGCTGTTCTTTGAACTGTATACCGCTGCGTTCTAGTTCGGTTTGTGTTACACCAAAGTAACACGTATTAACTGTTACATCCTTTTTGTTGTTTTTGGACCTTTGTCCAAGCCGTTTCTCAAAGCCGTTTGTTCGTGTCTCAGGTTCATCATTTTACCCCACCTTTTTACTCAATTGTTTACTGATTTTCGTAGCACGGTAATAAACTTATGTCACCCACATCTGCCAAAACGAAAACACTGGAACATGCCGCCCATGCCGTCAGTGGGGCTGGCCCATCTCAAATACGAGATTGCAAACTAGTGCTTGTAGATCCACTAGCAGAAGCTCTGCTAAACGTTCATGTTCTCGAAAGTCAGGCAAGCTCGCTGAAAGAAGAGTTTTTACATCTCTTGCAACGCTATTGAACAAAGTCATGCCCTTGGTCAATCTGGACAACGTCCAAACTTTGGCTAGCCTACCTGGTATACTAGCTGCAGGTGAAAGATTGAATAACGTTGCGCACGTGGTCAACGAACAAATTCGTTGTGCCAATAAGGATAATATCCCTGAATCCATTTGACTATCAGTTGTATGTCCTTTCCCTTACATAATACTCGCGTGTGTATACTACCCATCGAATCCGTCTAACATGAGTAAAACCAACATCACATCTGCATTTAACGTAGCGCCTGGATTACAACACAGACAAAATCGTCGGTGATTTCAACTTACCAATAAAACACTGATCATTCCACCCATTGTTATGCTTACACACAAGTTTTCTTTCTTCCATTAGATCAGTAGACTGGACGCAATATCGACTCATGCATTGGACTAAATAGCCCCATCGGAGAAACCCAACGCACAGACCGAGATCTTAAACCGTCTACCTGGCAGCGACGATAAAACGATCCGACTCATTCTACATCAAAATGATCGCTAACCATGCTTCTACACAGCGATGTGCAAACAATAAGATAAACTGGGAATGCTTACAGCGAATCACGCGCAATGCTGATTTTCAACACAGCAAATATTCCCATTGTAATCAAAAGAATCAAGACCAGAAAACGGTTCAGGGTTAATATATCTTTTCGGTAAAATCTCATCAGACCCAAACTTTTACATGACACGGATTATGTGGGGTAAGCGTCAAATCGGGCTGGGATTGATTTCGAAGGTGTTTGAAAGGTCAAGATCGATGACTAAAGGTGGCTACGGGTTGTAGGAAAAGTGCATCAAAGGAAATTAATACAAGCTTCAGGGCCTAAAGTAAATAGCTAAGGTCACAAAGGGTAGTTAAGTAACCATGTCAGTCGGCCAAGGTAGTAGTATCGGCCGTATGAATCGTTTGTGTACGCATAATTCCGGCTTCAGATGATGGATGTAAATAGCCTCGGCGATAGACAAGATTTGCTTTCGGAAGCCTTGTGATAAGCGTTCAGGTAGTGAATAGATTACTTTAAAGTCATTCTCAGATGCAGTATGGCCACTTTCGAGGAGGTGCGACATGATTGAGCTGTCTGAGGCCCTCATTTCGCCTTTGTAAAACCACGCCGGGATGTGCTCGCGAATCCTCTGGGATAGACGTCTCGTTGTGCGACCCACGTATCGTGCACCACAAGAGCACGAGTACTGATAAACGAGCATTGAACGGGTCAACGATGGCAGACTATCTTTCAAGGGTTTTGCAAGCAATGGTTTGTTGTGGTAAACAATTCTTAAGCGGGCTGCGAAATAAGTTTTCTCAACAGCATCTTTCAAACGTCGAGATAGGATATCAGCTGCAGTATCGCCCTCAAATGGTAAATGTATGAACAGCTCTTTCTTGGGAGCAATGCTTCTAGGTGGCTTTCGCTTGCGTTCTTTCATGTGCTTCATGATAAACTTATCGGGGTAACCATTCTCACGAAGGGCGTCGCTGATTCTCTGTAGCTCTTCGTTGATGGTATCCGGAGTGCAAATACTGCGCGCCCTGAAGGCAAGAGATCGGATTAAACTCCTCTTGTGCTGTAAAGGCACCGCGCTGTGAAAGTTAGTGTACTGTCCAGTCCACGTATGCTTTCTGTGTACCATTCTGCTACATGAGCCGCCCGAATTGCGGATGACTTCTACATCCAAGGAAGGTAAACGGTTTTTATTTTCGTGCTCACAGGTGAAGCGTAGATTATCATGTGCATCATTAAAGGCCTTCAGCAACTGTTCTGCATGCTTTTCGGATTCGCAAAGCACGAAGGTGTCATCGACGTACCGTATGTACATTTCAGTTCCACAAATGTGCGTCCTGAGTGGGCCATGTTCTAATTTCGCCATAAAGATATCAGCCAACAACGGCCCCAAAGGAGATCCCATGGCCACTCCATCAATTTGACGGTACATCTCACCATTGAACATGAATTGAACATTTAACGTGCAGCGAAATAGTATCTCCTTTAGCAGATCCTCCGGAAAGTTAGCGTATATTGGTAGTTGCCGGGTCAACTCGCACACGTACTCCACCGTTTCGAGCAGGGGAATGTTTGTAAACAGCGACTGGGCGTCAAAAGATATCATCCTTTTGTTAGTAAAGTTGAGTCCAGATATCTTCTCAATGAATTCGAAGGAGTCTCTCACGCAGTAAGTGCAAACCATATCCCGTAACGGTTGCAATTTGTTCACCATCCATTGGGCCAACAAATGCTGGGGAGAACCCACCATGTCCAAGATTGGACGCATTGGGGCGCCTTCCTTGTGAACTTTTGGAAGGCCATATAATCTCGGTAGGTGTCCACCTGAAGGCTTCAACTTTTCGTATTCGCTCTTTGTGATCAGTTTGGCTTGCATCATTCGCTTGAGGCAGCCGGCCAACTGTTTCTCTAACTCCCCTGTGTTGTCCTTTCCGGCCATAAGCTTCTGGAACTGAGGATATGTTGCATTTTACAGATATAATCCACCCTATCTAATAACACTATGCCGGAGGCTTTGTCTGGTCTAGAGATAATTAATTCGTTGTTTAACAGTAACTCTTTAATTGCCTGAATTTTCTCCCTTGAAATAATACCATTACTAGATGGTTTATCCTTAACATATTCCTGACAGCTATCCACTAGACTAGATTTTAGGTTTTCAACATCAGTAGAAGATGTTGGAAACAGGTCTCTAGTTTGTATCATTAAGCTTTCAAACTGCACTTCTAAGGCTGCCTGATCTATTTTCTTACGTGGAATACAAAACTTAGGGCCTAATGATAACACTTCCAGCTGTGTTGGGCTTAGTACTACACTGGAAAGGTTGAACACATACCGTTCCGGGTTATTCGAAAATGTCAATTGTGGGACTAGGTTGTTAAGCGTACTAAGTAATTTCCTTCGCCTTCTTGCTCCCACTTTCAGCTTAACTAATTCCACATATTCCTCAAAAGGCCGTCGCAGATCCTCAGACAAGCCTGACACCGATGGAAACCTTTGCGAAATGAATCTCTCCAGCTCCGACATTTTAACGCGGATGGTGTCCACATAATTAAGTGCATGCCTCTTCAAAGATTTTGCGTTTGGGTAGAGGCCACAGCACCGTATCTCTCTACAAAATAGTTTTGGATAGCGGCTTGCCTGTACGCATTCATTAAGAAATTCCAATTCAACCCTGGATTCCTCCAACCGAGTACTAAACTTCAGATACTCATTAAAATCTTCAACGAATCACGGGCAATGCTGCTTTTCAACACAGCAAATATTCCCATTGTAATCAAATGAATCAAGACCAGAAAACAGTTCAGGGTTAAGATATCTTTTCGGTAAAATCTCGCCAGACCCAAACTTTTACATGACACGGATTATGTGGGGTAAGCCCAGTCGCTGTTTACAAACATTCCCCTGCTCGAATCGGTGGAGTACGTGTGCGAGTTGACCCGGCAACTACCAATATACGCTAACTTTCCGGAGGATCTGCTAAAGGAGATACTATTTCGCTGCACGTTAAATGTTCAATTCATGTTCAATGGTGAGATGTACCGTCAAATTGATGGAGTGGCCATGGGATCTCCTTTGGGGCCGTTGTTGGCTGATATCTTTATGGCGAAATTAGAACATGGCCCACTCAGGACGCACATTTGTGGAACTGAAATGTACATACGGTACGTCGATGACACCTTCGTGCTTTGCGAATCCGAAAAGCATGCAGAACAGTTGCTGAAGGCCTTTAATGATGCACAAGATAATCTACGCTTCACCTGTGAGCACGAAAATAAAAACCGTTTACCTTCCTTGGATGTAGAAGTCATCCGCAATTCGGGCGGCTCATGTAGCAGAAAGGTACACAGAAAGCATACGTGGACTGGACAGTACACTAACTTTCACAGCGCGGTGCCTTTACAGCACAAGAGGAGTTTAATCCGATCTCTTGCCTTCAGGGCGCGCAGTATTTGCACTCCGGATACCATCAACGAAGAGCTACAGAGAATCAGCGACGCCCTTCGTGAGAATGGTTACCCCGATAAGTTTATCATGAAGCACATGAAAGAACGCAAGCGAAAGCCACCTAGAAGCATTGCTCCCAAGAAAGAGCTGTTCATACATTTACCATTTAAGGGCGATACTGCAGCTGATATCCTATCTCGACGTTTGAAAGATGCTGTTGAGAAAACTTATTTCGCAGCCCGCTTAAGAATTGTTTACCACAACAAACCATTGCTTGCAAAACCCTTGAAAGATAGTCTGCCATCGTTGACCCGTTCAATGCTCGTTTATCAGTACTCGTGCTCTTGTGGTGCACGATACGTGGGTCGCACAACGAGACGTCTATCCCAGAGGATTCGCGAGCACATCCCGGCGTGGTTTTACAAAGGCGAAATGAGGGCCTCAGACAGCTCAATCATGTCGCACCTCCTCGAAAGTGGCCATACTGCATCTGAGAATGACTTTAAAGTCATCTATTCACTACCTGAACGCTTATCACAAGGCTTCCGAAAGCAAATCTTGTCTATCGCCGAGGCTATTTACATCCATCATCTGAAGCCGGAATTATGCGTACACAAACGATTCATACGGCCGATACTACTACCTTGGCCGACTGACATGGTTACTTAACTACCCTTTGTGACCTTAGCTATTTACTTTAGGCCCTGAAGCTTGTATTAATTTCCTTTGATGCACTTTTCCTACCATCCGTAGCCACCTTTAGTCATCGATCTTGACCTTTCAAACACCTTCGAAATCAATCCCAGCCCGATTTGACGCTTACCCCACATAATCCGTGTCATGTAAAAGTTTGGGTCTGACGAGATTTTACCGAACAGATATCTTAACCCTGAACTGTTTTCTTGTTTTATATCCGTCAAACAATATTTTTCATGTCTTTCAGCTACCCCTGTACTTGCTGCACATTGGAGACCACCCTCTTCTTGCTCCCACACTTGCAATACTCCTGCCTTACCACTATGCAATCTATCTCTATTGAGATGAACTACATCTTCCGCCGATCCGCAACCTAGCGGATAGCAGCAATTATGTGTGGCAGCAATGGACACCACCTCATGTTGAAAAGCAACTGCACGTGTGGTAATCTGCTCAGAAGGTCCGCACTTGCGGTCCTTTTTTCTGTTAAGTTGCACCCGTCCGTCTATTCAAGGAGTGCCAGGTGATGGGCCATACTAGGTGATCGTGTGTTTCTCACCTAACCCAACGGCTTTCTATTTCCAAATAATCAGCTACTGCACATATATTGTGAAAGATTCACGCTGATTGCCTGGATGTGCACAACTTCGGTACCTCTTGTGTCTGTAAGTCCATCTTGCGTTACATCTATGCACATCGATTTCCTGCGTTTCGCGGCACAGTTTTTCATACACCGTTCCTCAGTGCTTGCGCGTTGTGGCTCAAGAGCGCAGAAAACGCTCCCCGTAATTGCGTGACTATTTGGAATAGGTACAAACATCCGCCATGAATTTCATAGCATGTTTCTCTTTCATTACCTTGTTGCAGTGACTATGCTGCGAAAGGGATGTCAAAACTTTGCATTCCATAACCCGAAAAATAAAATTACGTTTGACTGGTGTAAATCTTATATCAATGACAATAATAAAACCCATTCCATGCAAATTCTCGAAACACCAATTTAGCCCAGGTCAGTGGTTTTGCCCCTAGCGATAATCTGGTCCGCTATGGTACGTACATGAACCTAATCAATGCTACTGGTGTAGGTGCGCAGTGTCTACAGTGCATATTTTTCCAGTGGCCATTTTGATGCCACGGGTTAAAGACATTTATAGGCCCGTCAAGAAGGTATGTGAAACCCACAGCTGCTAGTTCCATAGCAGCGATGTTGATACAGCTGACAAAGGACTTATATGGGCAGAGAAACCAATGTCAATGGAGGCATGGGAAGTCCAACGTATGTTTTATAAGCGGCGGTACTGATGACACCGCCGTGCCACCAACGTGGGCTCAATACCCGTTAGTCGCGAACGCCTGTGCAGCCAACGATATCCGCTACGCTAGTCAACATAAGAAAACGGATACGAAAGGACAAATATAGATTTAATACGAATACGTTTTAGGGGATTGCGGAGCCGATATTTGCAGTTTACCTCGTAGTATTATTGATGTCAGTGTCTTGAGATGAATATAGACTAAGTAACCAAAGGTCATGGAGGTTGTACAGCTACTGGCAATATTGACGTAAATCAAATGGACATAAATAAATAAATAAATATTTTATTCTTGATTACGCGAGGCACGCCCACGGAGGCATGAGCAGACATGTACAACCGTACAGACATTATATGGCAACTGTAACAGTGACAGTAGAAAATTGTTCATAGGTCCATGATTAGAACTGTACAATGGCGAAAATGCAAAATAATAATTTGGCTGTCGTGAAACCGGGACCTCGGCTAATAATAGATTGAGAATTCTGAATGCTCCGTTGAAAGCTAATTAAAGAGCACGCTCAAGAGAGATATGACAATACAGTGAGTTCGTGCACAAGTAACGCAAATGTCAACGGCGATATCATAGAAAGCAAAAAGACGACAGTATATGCTGGTGTAGAAGTTCCAGTGTAACGAACCTATCTAGAGTGGTGCCGTTAGTTGACCTGCCAGTGTGAAGTTATGAGCTGTGACTTTATTTGGTGGCGAGTCACATTCGCCACGTTGCAGTGTTGTTAAACGGACATTTGTGGCTTTTTATAGGGAGAACGCTTGTCAGGCGAAAACCCACCACGTCCTCAAACACTGCCGCCAATCCATTGAATGGCAAGTTCTAACTGTTTATGTTTCTGGTTGAAAGTTTGTTTACTCGGTTATTCGCAGTCAGATTGCATCCCATTTTTCTGCTGGCTGATGCGTTAGCCGGGTGCCTATTGTGTTCCTGAGTCCTGTTCTGGTCGGGAACTAAACATGCTTCTTACATATGGCGTGTTGATCCTCTGCAGCACCACGTGAAGTCACCGAGGGCTATACATTGAAATATGTTGGAGTTTTGAAGAATATGCTCCTGAAGAAAGGATCGCAGGTCCCACGGGGTATGTAGTAAAATGGATTAGAAAATTAGGTTTACGCTAGTAAAGTCAACATGAACACCGGTTAATTTGTGAACATGCCGCCCCTGTTTTGGTACCTATAATACTTCTCCGTGCACTTGTCATGCGAGCGAGGCAACCAAGGGAGTCTCCTTGAGTGCGATAGTAATGCCACATCTGTGGCAGTTATATATTCTTACTAAGCACCCATCACGTTGGCATGAACATCGAACTATATAGCACCATGTCTTTCGTTATTTGCAACCTGCCGCGTGCCTGCACTTCATTCATGAGTGCTCCAGTAAATGGCGAAATGGAAACATGTAACCGTGCAGGGACCTGTTTTACGTTTATTTCGAAGTACCTTGTATACCGTGCCTCTTGCTCACATTGTTGCCCGCATGCTGCACGCTGTTATTTGCCTACAGCACCGCAATGCCACCCTATCTTACAGGTGAGTGGTGCTGCTCCAATCAATTACTTTTCAGGTTAACGATGCCTCCAAACATTTCAGCCTACTCCGCATATAGCATAACCGGCACTCCGGTGTCGCAACTGCCCGACACGACGTTCGCATGACCCCGGTTAATCCGCACTGTTAACTGCCTCCGCTTTCCAATTACTTCGTGAATGACCCGACGACCCTATTCAGGGCCACACTATGTCCCATAGCCTTATGGTGCATCCTTACAACCCAGTAGTGCCCACTCAAATGTTTGCATGCGCCACACCAATAGGCTGCTAATTCAGTGGAGGGGTCCGTAATAATATCACACATTTTCCAACGCTCTATTACTCTTCCAGTTCTTAAGCATAGCCCTTCTATGGCGTGACCGAAAACCGCCAAACATGTTTCAGTATTGTCTCTTTGCGGGTTATGAGCAATTTGAACACTCCAAACTCAGTGGATGTCCGTATTTAGCGATAGACGAAGGCGACATCACATTTCCCAATTTAATTCACACTTGCAAATATCCATATACATGACATTAATAAAAATAGGTCCTAATATATGGACATGTGTTAGCATGGTTTTCATATGTATATATATAAATATACGAACGCACGTATTTTTTTACATTTTATTTATGTCAGGCGGTGGGTGTGCAATTTTGTCCTAATTCTTTCCTTTCTCATAAAATTTTCCATGTGTACTATATCATATAAAGTTGCACTTCTCGCTTAGGCCAATAGTAGTTAACTTTGATAACAGTTTCGTGTTTGTGGCATTTCCGTAAAATATACTTTCCGACCTCTTGAACTTATCGCGGATTTATTGCTAATAAATAAATAAGTAGGTGTATTTCTAGACTGGCTAGAGGCTGCACC